GAAGAAATTTAGCTGATCACTTTACTTACAGAACATGTAGAGCAGCTGAACACCTTTTGCTCACAAGTACACACACGGATCCTCGTCTTCATCTTAACCTGTGTAAATGATATGTTCATTCAAAAACAGATGTCCCACTTCAGTAACTTGAAGCTGCAGTAGATTTTTAACACCCCCTTTGCACGTCTCTAAGACTGTGTTAGTTGACAATTACCTGGAGAAGTCATCTTGTGTTGCTACATCTCCAGAAGAGGAAGCAGATGTTAATGAATGCCTTTTGTATAAACACACTTATTTCTCAGGTTTCAGTGCCTGTTCAACATCTCCACCGTGCAGCGCATGTTGGCAAATCAGTTACACAGCTCAGCTTGGGATTGGGATCTCTGGAATATGAACCACTGTGTAGACATATACAGTCACAGGAAAATGTGTCACAAGTCATTTGAATAAGACAGAGAACATGGATATGCATCATACTTATGTATGTAAAGACATTCAATCACAAAGTAATCAATTAAGAACCTGGGAAATTACATTTATTTAAGAATAACTGATTATAGAGAACAAAAAAAGGTCAAATCAAACACAAAAGGTTTTGTGTCATCATCATGTAAATGTATACAACATATGACTCAAATATAATTTTAAAGATGCCTACATGTAGTTTTAAAAATACGACTGTAATGTGATTTCTTTAGTTTGCCTTGCTTCAACCTTCAGCCGGAAGCCCATGTTTGGCCATAACCAGTAGAGCTTTACTCCTGCAATCATTAAAGGGATTAGGCAATAAGTCCTTTCTTTTATTCATCCCACTGAGGACCAAGTAAGACAACGCTTATAAGATACACATTTTGGTATTAGTTGGTATTTGGTATAAATATTCCAAATATCTAAATCATGCGGTAGCATTGGGATGCACAGCATCTGCCATTTTAAGTCTTAAATGGGGTCAAGCTAAACATTGTCGTGTCATTTTTCACATGTTGAGTGGCCTTTCTGAACTTTAGACGGAACCACCCACACACATGTTGGCAATAAAAAAAATCAAGAAAAAAAAGGAAGTATTATATTATTAAAAATATTATACAAATATTATTCAATGCCGTTCCAACATCAGTCTACAATATATCACAAAATACTATCTATAAAGACAGGATCACTATGACAATCCAAGCACCTGATTGTTTACCAAACTGTCGCTGAAGCTGATGAGAATTCCTTTTATGTTTTTTGGGAGTATTTACAAGTATTTGATAAATTTAAATTTTGACGTGATTATGGCAGTAGATTAAAAGTCTGACAATTAGTAACGTAATTCAGGTGTATCCTCAGGATACCCTACACCAGTAAATACAATTCCTAATTAAATGACTCATTCACAGATGTTCACGTTGTGTAATATTTAGCATCCAAGCTCGTTTTGCAATCACCGCAAGGTTGTCAAAGAAATAACCACTTGTGTGTCATTGCTTTCTTGATGATACATTTTCCATTCATAGGGTTGGAAGTGCCCTGAAATATAAATGCACATTTTCTGCTGGTGATTTAACACATATTCTTCACCATTGCCAATCATTGACATCATTCAAATAGTCAGATTATTGTTGGAAGAATCTCCACTTCACCCATTAACTGAAAAGGACATCCTTTTCAGTTAAACAATCCAAGGAGGAGGGCGCTTAAAGCTTTAAAAGAGATCCAGAAACTCATTTCACTACTAAAAACATCCACACAACGCCACACATTGAGAGGTGTAATACCAATCCCTGACAGTTGTTTCACTGAGTGACATCTACATTTGGCAAAGATGGGTTTGGATGAGCGTATCGTTACCCTATTCAAGAGAAATGCCCATCACACGCTGACCTATTGGAGCGTTTTCTTCAGCTTAGGACTCTGCATTGCTTTCCTTGGACCAACAATTTTGGACTTGCAATGCCAAACAAACTCCACACTTGGTCAGATTACCTGGGTATTCTTTTCCCAGCAGTTCTGCTTGTTGATTGGCAGCTCTATTGGTGGCGTTTTCAAGAAGACGTAAGTATCACTCGCCCAGACTCTTTTTGCGGGTGTTCAGTGTGTGTAAATAATCTGGAATGGATTTAACCCTATAATGACCTTGATGTCTCTTTTCTTGTTTGAAGGTTTTTCAGTGCTCTTGCTGCCTTATTTGTCTCTACTCTCACCATCTCTGTAATATTTGCCATCATCCCTCTGTGCAATAATGTTCTCGTGCTGGCCATCGCCATGGCCGTGTCTGGTTTTGCGATGGGCATTATTGACACCATTGCTAACATCCAACTGGTGACCATCTATCAGAGGGATTCAGCTGTTTTCCTACAGGTAAAAAGGCCTGTAGTACCCCTATCTTATATGTAAGACATAAAAGCATTTGCATTGGGTGAATAATTAATGGAAATGTTTTTAGGTTTCAGTTGGATTAATTTACCAATATGTGAGCCATATCTTACTTTATATGTGTGTAATATAAAGTTAAAGAGTTTACGTTTCTCTTTTTGTTTTTTCTACATTTTCCCAGGCTCTTCATTTCTTCATTGGGCTCGGAGCCCTGGTGAGCCCACTGATTGCAGACCCTTTCCTCTCCGAGACGGGCTGTGGGAATCACACAGGGAATGGGACTGAGATCTTGCATCATTTCAGGAATATGCTGAGAAACAGTCCGATTGCAGAGCACGACATAAACCAAACCTACCTGCCGTACGAGGGTGGGAAAGAGGAGTCCAATGTGCACTCTGCTTTCTGGATCATGGCTGTTATCAATGTGAGATGTTAGACAGATGTACATTGGCACATGTGCAGGAGAAGAGTTATGGTGTTTTCTTAATTGGATATTTGTAGTTGATGGTTGAACAAATGAAAAACATGAATTGTGCACCCTCAGCTCCCCGTGCCCATCGCTGTCCTGTTCCTGATGTATCGTGAGCAATTGATCCCATGTTTCCCCAACGGCACGCCTCGTCTCCTGGACAAAGATGAATTAGCTATGGAGGACCAGCAGGGGGCCGGGGCCTCCGAAGTGGAGCTGAAAGAACACGAGGCTGGAGGTAAAGATATGGATGAAGTGCATTATATATGGATGACTATTTGAGAATGAGTCATAAGTGTTTTGTGACCCTTGCGCTCTGTCACAGGTCATGGGAATATCTTTAGCTGCTGTCAGAATGATAACCTGCGCGGGGTTGCCCGTCTCCTTCTTTATGATTCATATCCTCGGTGGGTTGGTGCTTTTCATGACCGATGGCATTGTGGTGAGTGAGGGGATGCAAATAAATGATATAATGAGCATTTCACTTACTATGTTCACACAAATGTATAAATGTAAAATAAAATCTAGAAAAATCTACCTTTTCTTTCCAGGGTACATATGCTGGCTTCGTTTACACTTATGGTGTTGCACAACCTATTTCATTGCCAAATAAAACAGCTGGTTACCTGGCCAGTATATTTTGGGCAGCGATCACCGCCGGCCGTCTTTTGTCCATTCCACTTTCGTACCGTTTCCAGCCTGTAAGACTGCTCATGTTCAACCTGGTAAGGCTTAGAAAACCTTCAGAGTGTGCCGTTGTAAATGGGACATGCACAAAGAAACCTTGAAGGTCAAACATTTAACCGACCGCTCTCTCTTCTTTTTAGGCAGGTGCTATTGTAACAGTCTTGCTGCTGCTTATTTTCTACACCAGCAGCACCTTTCTTTTTGTCGGGACATGTTTATGCGAGCTTTTTCTCAGCAGCATATTCCCATGTATGCTCGCATATACGGAGGACATCCTTGATTATCAGGGTATAATGATGTCTTTACAGCACAACAATAAAAACACAATAATGGAATGAAAGCAAGGAGAGGGATCAAACCATGCAATTGTTTTTGCAGGGTGTGCAACGCCAGTGCTGGTGACATGTGCAGGGATGGGAGAGATGGTAATGCAGGTTCTGGTTGGCTTGGTAAGTCCGATGATTATCAACATTGTTGTTGAAAAATTGCAGAAATAGGTTTATAATTGAGAAAACAAGCCCGATGGAGATTTGTGTTGAATAGTTTCTTGTTGCTACCTCATCCCCAGATTATTCCTACCTTAGGCAGCTACAGCTTCCTGCTGTGCGGAATGATAATCGCCTGCCTTGGTTTCATCCTCTTCATTGGGCTCCTGCTGTTCCATCGAATGCACAGAAATTACCTCACAGGTGCAATATCAGCGAGAAGCCCGATACACTCCTGACAATAGTTTTCATGGTTTTCATTCATTTAACACTCATCATCCCCCACTCACGCTCCCTCTGCATCCCAACAGGAACGACAAAAAAGTTGGCCATGGTGGAGGAACCAGCAACAGAGCAGAATGGATCGGCCGTAACAGAGCAGAGAAATGAAGCAGAGAGCAGCTGAGACGGGACGCAACGCTGTTTTGTCCTTTAGTGACTTCTGTAGAGATGAAGTATTACAACAATGTCTTTTACCTTACCTTTCAATCCCTTTTTTCTGTTTTTATTCTAGTCGTTTTGTTTTCATGTTATTTTATGTGTTTTTGCATATGTGCATGGATTCCTATATAAAATGTGTATTAAACAATAATGTTGATGAAGCGAACATAGTGTGGGTTTGATCGATGAAGACAGTACTGTCCTTGCATTTTCTGATTAACAACAAGGGAAACATTGTAGATACATACAACGCACATGCAACCGTTCAGATGTTTATTTTTTTGCTCTCAGAATTAACTAGTCAAGGGGACAGCCTCAAGTGTTACACTGTTAAACATCAAATGTTGAAGAAAGGACTTTGTACTCCAAAAAGTTGGTCTCTTAGAATGAAGAACAAATGTAAAAAAAAAAGTCATCCAGCCTTTTCACAGCTAACCAGTCAATCTATAACTTCAGCTCTAGGCCCAGTTACAACAAGAACAGGAGGCATCAAAGACCAGACCAGCAGCACAATTCTCAAAGTAGGCCTTGCCGTTGCTGCAGTTGTAGAATTGGTTCTTGTTTGTTGGGTTCGGGTACATGCCACTAGCCTTTCCAGCGCAGAACCCGCTGTCCATGCCCTTGGTGCCAGAGTTCCCACCAGAGGATCTACCGCCGCTGGAGCTGCCGCTGGAGCCGCCGCTGGAGCTGCCCCCGGTTGCCGGGCTCACACCGGCGATTGGGGGCAGAGGAGTGGCAGGAGGGGCGCAGGCTAAAGAACACATCGAATCAATTACTTGATTAAATATATTCCTCATTGTGTTTTACATTGATCCCAGACACTTACATGCTTGTTCCAGATTAAGGCCCTTTTTGAGGACATTAATCAGTGGGTATTTTCCTTGGTTACAGAAAGTGCCCATGTAGTCGTCCATGTCGAGGGTCCAAACCATGGCGCCGCCAAAGTTACTCTTTATCAGCCAGTCAACCTACAAACAGACAGGGCGGGCGACAGACAGATAAAAGGGGGTCAAACATTCATTATTTTAACATTATTTGCTCCTGTTCCATTTATAGCTCAGAACTGACATTTATTGCAGCAAAACAGATTGGCCTGTCGAGCAGTGAAACAAGTATTCTGTGCAGTTCTGTTACCTTGATCTGGAAGCTCTTCATGTTGTCATAGCCCACCCACTGGTTTCCCTTATAGGCATATGGTACATCCTGGGCCTGGTTCCAAACCTCAGTGGCTCCATCTTTCAAAAAGCCGCAGATCTGTAATTTCATTAAGCTGTGCATTAATGACAGCCAAGAGTGTTTAACTCTGTGAAAAACCAAGCTGTTCTGTCATCATTTATACAGAAATATATTGGCGCACCTCAAAGTACGCGAGCTCTCCAGCCTCTTGAGTGTATTTTCCAGGGGTTCCAGGCCCGGCAATGGATGCTCCAACACCATGTTTACCAGGGTTCCTAAGAGTGAATGTGTTGCCATATGTAGGGAAACCAACAATCAGCTTTTCAGCTGGGGCTCCCTGGCTCTTCCAGTAGTTCATGGCATAGTCCTAAAACAAAGAAGAGGGAAATAAGCGTGGCTTCGGAAGTGGAAATGGTAGCTGCAGGTAATACTTGCAGACTTCTTTGCAGACGAATGTGTATTCGTCAAAGGACTCACCACATTGAAGTAAATGAAGCCACCCTGGTCGTCTGGGCTTCTAAACAGGGGACTGCACTCACCAGTCATGGGATCCCAGGAGCCGTGGAAGTCATATGTCATGACGTTGATCATATCCAGGGCCCTACAGGTGTGGAACACACGGAGGCAACGTCATGAGCTGAAATTGATGGTTCGAATTAAAAAGGTTTAGAACTTGTTTCAATTGTTTGTTCCACTGTGAGCCATTAATATTGCTGTGGATCAGATGGGACCCACAACAAGTACTGTCTCTGTATCGCTGTAAATGCTCACTGGCCCATCTGGGGAATCTGGTAAGCAGAATCAATGTTGGCCTTTCCAGCCGCCACAGCGGCAGACATCAGAAGACGAGCCTTGTTGCTCTGCTTGGCCTCGGTCTCAAAGGCGGCTCTCATCTCCTGTCGAATGTCAACAGATATAAAATATTTACTATTATACTAATTTTAGGTGTATTTTTTTCAGCACGGGGGGAAGTTGAAACGCCACAGGGATTTGCTGTAGCCCAAAACATTTAAGAGAAGCTTGGGTAGTTAGATTTGCTGTACAGCCTGATCTCCAAAACCTGTTCGTAAAAATGTATACGAAAATCTTGAACATACAAGTTCGTAGTGATACATACGAAATAAATACGGACTGCAACTGATGACGTCACCCTATTCAACGTGAATTGGGACCTGCACCCCGTAAACACACTTTGTGAAGTCTAACGATGTAAAATAAACGTGTTATGATTGCATTTTTAACGAGAAATCAATGTTAACTTGTAAGAATAGAATACTAACCCTAACCCCCTCAAAAAATCCAACATGGCGGAGAGACGTTCACTCAAGAATCCGACATGGTCCGCCATGTTGTTCACTCAAGGGGCGTGGTTAACCACCGCTAGTTCGTATGTATTGTTACGAATTTGTATGTTCAAGATTTTCGTATACATTTTTACAAACAGGTTTTGGAGATCACGTTGTGCTGTAAGGTATTGAATGATTTAAATTGTATCGGAATACAATAAAAAGGAAACTATGCGGTAACCAACCTCCAGGAAAACCGAGTAGTACTGCTTGTCCTGGGGGGAGCCTCCTCTGTTGGCTGGATACTCCCAGTCAATGTCCAGCCCATCAAACTCATACTTCCTCAGGAACGAAATGACGGAGTTGATGAAAGTCTGACGGTTGGTAGGGCTCAGAACCATTTGTGAAAATCTAATGTGGGAATAGAGATCGAATGTGTTGAATCAGAAGGTTTGCGGCATTTAGAGAGGCACGTCTGCCGATATCTGTAGATAACCTCACCCTGTAGAGCCGAAGTTCCATCCTCCAACAGACAGTAAGGTCTTCAGGTTGCCGTTCCTGAAAGGGAATCAGACATTTTACAACCCAACAGCAGCTAACATCACACTCTCTTTCCTAACCGTGCTTTATTTGTGAAACTTCTGTCTTTTTCTCTGTTACACAAGACCTGTTTCTGTGACTCACTTGTTCTTTAGAGCGTTGAACTGACTGTAAAGCTCCACATCATTCCACTCATAGGTGGCCAGTTGGTTGTTCTTAATGGTGGCGAAGGCGTAAAGAAGATGGGTGCACAGGCATGGGTCGATGTCGTTGGGCATAAATATGGTTGGAGGTGGTCTGTACTGTGCCCAGTTTGTGAAGTAGCATGACAGTATGAAGGATGAGCCTTTGGTTCAAAAGAATTTCATTATTAAGTAGCAAACATCAATCGTACCAACAAATGCAAATTAAATATGCACACTGGCTTACCAAGCTGCGCGTGCAGCAGCAGCGCCAGAGCTGTAAAATTAAAAGTCACATGTTATCTTTTAGTTATAACACATTTCATAATAGTGATCAGAATTGTCCTCCCAAATGGCTGCAATAAACTACATATCAAAATCCTGACCATGTGGACATACCAGAGGACAATGGTTCAGAATGCAGGAGCACTGACTTACCCGTCACAAACAGTACTTTGCCCATGATTGCCTTGTACAAGCAGGTCATCTATTAGGTGCACTCGCTTTTATACACTCCCAATCGCCTCAAACCAAATTGGGACGGATGCCCAAAACAGAAAGGTGTTTATTTGCAAAAGATTGTTTCAGACAAGATTACCAAATGTGCTCACTTAAAGAGTGATATGCGATTACTTATCACACTTCCAGACATGTTTACCACAGGCCCAATTTCTCCTTGTGTGAAGGACAAATTCATCCAAAAAAGGTAATGAAATAAAGAATATAGGGTCAAGGTGTTTCCCAAGTTTCCCAAACCACCAAAGAACATTGAAAAATGTTTGTAGTAGGATGCAGATCTCCAATTTCATCAATTCTGTTTGACTGGACATTAAATATTCTCAACTCGTGTCCAAAAGACAAACACTTAAATGTTGTTAGTGGATTTTGTATGCATTCGCAGCTAAACAATGTATGCATTTGCAGCTAAACAAGGGTGTTTTTATTAATTTCACCACTGAGCATGAATATATGATATCATATCATATTTGCCTTTCATGTCACGCAGTAAATTTACCATCTGTGTTCAGGGATGACATCAAGCATTCAAAATCAACTCGCTTTAACAACAGCGCAAAATTGCTTTTGTAAAACTACTCAGACTGCAGATATGTGATGATAAATATGTTTGACTACTTCAATCACGCTGCAGAGGAGGATCGTAATGTGTCATGAATAGGGATTTGCATTGTTATCAAAAGCTTTCAAAAAGAAAATGGACAACTAATCTAATCGTTTCACTTCCATTACAAGGCCGGCCTTTTTTTATCTTCAACAGTTTAGGTAATATTTAAAAAAGATATGCTGGTGTCAGCTAGAAAACACCTTGGCAGAGCCGAAGCTTACAGCCATAAGTAAAGACATTTGCTTTTCCAAAACAACCCAATCTGCTTTCATGGCGTGTCAAATGTTTTAAAGCGCGCTAAACAAATGTTGGGGAGACTGAAAGTGGTTCATTTACCGACTGATTTTCTCACTTATAGTGAAAAACAACCCAACTTAACTTTTAACCAAGGTCATTGCATCATCTCATGAAAGTTTAGCGCTTGAGACTGTTTTCCCCCGAGGTGAAAATCCGTCACATATCATGAATGTCCTTGAATTATACGTCTTCTCAGTTGAAAATACAAGAATTTAGTCAGTGTGACCTCATCAAACAGCCGCCCTACACATTTTAAAACTTGTAATGAGTTTCAGAATAAGTGGTAGAGGCTATTTGTTTCAAATAAAACTATCCACTTCATATAGGATTTTGATAGGTTTAATAAGCGGAAGTTATAAAGGAACCTTTTAAAAACAGATTTGTGCACGTGGGTGTTGTAACCTTCATAGTTACTCAGCACCCGTCCATGAGTCACCCTCATAGTTCTGTTTTCCAATCTCGCTTAACCTCTAAGGACTCATTCACATTGTTCCAGCTTCTTCATAAACTCAGAGAATCTGTTGCTTTAAATGTGTAAATATGTATATATGAATGCAATATATGTACATTTACTGTACATTTTCCTAGGTTGCATGTTTTAAAATATGGTGCATGAAGAAAATGTGAACTGTGTGGTTCCTACTCACTCCAACAAAACAATTCATTCTTGTCAAATCTATAAAAGTTCAATATTAGCTGTCACCTAAAAAATTGCAAATAATTGACACAATAAGATGAAAAGAAGTCGGAACTGTATATGTGATATGCACATGGAATATAAAAGCCTAAGAAACATAATTCTCGTATGATAATACATGGTATCAGTAACATCATTATTAAGACATTAAAAATGTAGAGTACCTCCAAATGGCAAAGATTTCAGTTAGATTAAGTTAAAAAAAAAGAGCAGGCCTGATGAAATACGTCAAAAGTTAATTTAGCCCGACCTGTAGTAACGTATCCTGCTAAAAAGAGAGACAGAGCCACAGAGTAGCTTTCTCACCAGCTGCTTAACAACGGCAATACTGCTGTAGTGCAACTTAATGAGAAACAGGAACAGTCTTTTGATTTTCCTCAGGTGAAAATACACTAAAGAAAAGAACGAGAATGATGGAGACTCTGGTGGTCTTTGGTGCCACCTGCTGTTAAAGTAAATAAAGTGGACTCACGGTTCCCACTCTACAGGACCCCCACACAGATGGACAAGACACACAAGAGAACTATTTACCTGCCGTGATATCTCAACACATTACAAGCCTATAGTGCAGAAGTGAATTGAATCACATCATTGCATGACCTAACCACAGAGAACACATAAGAGGAAGTCCGCTAGTGTTGCACGCTTGTCTTCTGCTTATCATTGTTGCTCCTATTTTCACCATGAAGACATCGGGGCTGTCTCTCGGCCTCCTCAACGGCAAGAGCGACTTCTTAAAATACTGTCCTTGTTTAATGGTGGAAGAAAAACTTGAATAGACCGGCTCACCTGTGTTTTTTGCCTTTCACAGCTCCACTTCTCTGTCTCTTCTGGCTAACGAAGCATGCAGTGGCCTCGGCCCAGCTGTCGGCTCCAGAGGTGGTGACAGGCGCGTACGGAGGATCCGTGGCGGTTCCTTGTCAGTACGACCGTCAGTTCAGAGACAACATAAAGTACTGGTGCAGAGGACCGCTTTATGATCTGTGTCAAATAGTGGCGGAAACACCCAGGAGGCGACCAGAAGAAAGGGGCTCCATCGCAGACGATAAGGAGGCCGGAGTCTTCACTGTGACGATGGGTTCTCTCAGAGAGGCCGACAACGGGAAGTACTGGTGTGTCATTGACCGTCCTGGAAGGGACATCCACACCGGTGTCAAGCTCCTCGTCTCCCACACAGGTGAGCATACAGCTTCGTTGTGTTTCACTCACCCTGGAAATCAAAAACGTGTAATCTAACTGTGACTTGAAGGACACTGAACTTGACTAAAAGTGTGTTTTGTAAACTCAAACAATAGTGACTATTTGTGACGTAAAAGACATTTTTACAAGTTATGGACAAAAGGTTTCTGCATCAACAAAGAAAAGGACTTTTGAGAACGCTGTATTTTTCACTCCCAGAAAACGAAAATATGAGTTATTAGACCCACCTTGCATGAAACACATTTGAAACAGCATATATATAATATATTATATAAGAAATAATAAATATGATTTAAAAATATAATTCTTATTACACCCGTCTGACTTCTCAATGGGACAGAAGTTCTGGAGCAAAAGAAACATTCTGTAACAGTATTCAAATGTGCAAGTAGTTTTTTGTTGTCATGGTGACGGGGCTCACAAACATATATACATATATATTTAGACATGGGTGATTAGGCTCATGTGATGGTTAGAGTTGGAGCGAGGATCGATTAGTCAGTAAATGGAATTTGTATTCATTTTCACAGTGATGACAACGACAACAACTCTTCTGGAGCCGGATGTAACAAGGTGAGAAGAGCCAAGAGGGATAATATACATAAGTTTACAATTACCATTCATCGTAATATTGATGAAACACCACATTAATAATGATATGAAGGGTATGTGCCACGAACAAAAGTAAATCATTTTTAATCCTCATATTGTTCGTTTGAACCAGTTGGTGGATGACCCTGCGTTGGATCTCCTTTATTCTAATGTTGTGTTGTTTGGTATCAACACGCATTGCTGAGTGGAAGACAACGGCTGCGAGGAAAATACGGCGGCAACAATTTCAATATCTAAACTCAAACATCTAGGATTGAAAGTCATCTCTGATTTATTGTATGATTTATACTGAGCCTACCAAACTATTCCTTCAGTGGACATTCTGTCAGTGGGTGAATTTACACTGAGAGATGAAATTAGTCAAAATGTGGCTTTCAGCTTATTTTTTTCTTAGTATAAATTATTAAAACCTCAGTGGATTTTGGTGCCGGGGCCCAAGATCACTTTGGTCCAGACTTTTGAATATGGAATTATCTTATAATTGCTGCCTCTGGAGAAGTGAGGCTGTTGGCTTTCATTCAATATATTTGCATTTCTTATGTGGGGCGTCATAGAGATATATTTACATGTATTTCTTATTTAAAATTGTATTTTTAACCACTAGTTTATCTGGGTTTTTTTATCAAATCTACCAGCAATGTAGTCCTCCAAATATCTAAAAAGTTGCATAATCATAACACAAAAATGAAACCCCAACTCTCTCTAAACATTGACCAACACTAAAGTTGAATTGGGTTTATGGCCTGCTACATTGCTTTATAATCTAAGAGCGGATTACTGTGGTAGATATTTCACACAAGTATACCAGTATGTAGTTAGATTATTTATAAGTGCAACAGATAGAGAGGATTTGATCTGTAAAATAAGCTGCATTGATGTTTGCGCTTTAAACACAAGGAAAAGACACCGAGAGCCACAACTCATACACCTCTGTGCTCTGGGTTGGAGGAATGGGGTTTACGGGGCCCCGGTCAGGCACATGTCACTGATTACCCTCCTATAAACACCCACAAATCTAAATTATGTTAAAATCCCCCAGAAAATCCGACTTCTTCCCTCAAAGAGGCAGTGGTGATTTGTGAACCTTGTCGAGCAGATTTCATTACCTTGCTGGTTGTAGCAGCAAGATATTGGATAATTGTGTCTGCTGGTCTGTGCTTTCAGACAACAGCACATATAACCGCATATATTCACAGTTAGATTAGACAAATATGTACAATCTAATGCAATAAACCTTGTTTCTGCAAAGAATGTAATGTTCCGAGTATTTAGTCTCTGGCGGTGCTGTATTAGACTGCATTATAGGATGTTGTTGTTCTGTCAGCCTCATGAATGTAAATGAGAAACGCCTTTGAGGTCTTCTTCACAACCGACTCGTCCTAGAGCAGGAAAAGCACAATTGTTACAAATAACATAAACATTGACTTTGTTCTCTTCATGTGCCCCAGTAAAGCAATCGGTGTGACAGTGAGGCGGCATGCAATAAAGGAATTCAGCTATCGGTCATTCTATCAGTGGCACCTGTGCATTTTCTTCAAATACCTGCAAAAATGTCTTCCACAAAAAGGCTCATGGCAAATTAACTTTGTCCTCAAAAAATATTACAGGATTGTGTATTTTGTGTCAATGTATAAACAACAGTAAAGGATCACAACAGTAATGCAGTATTCGTGTCAGGTAAATTATATTGCATTCTACACATTTTTATATTTTTTTGTGGGTTTTTACCAGCGGAGCTGAAAACATACAATATAATGCACATACAAAACATATGTTTTATACTAAAATAACTGAAATATATATGTAGATTTGTTGTGGACGAGGTGGAGCTCAAACGCAGAGGAGGATGCGAAGTGTGAGTGATTTAGGAGGTGATGTCATCAGTTCTGCTGCAGGAACCCCAGGCATGAACTCTCATAAAGACAGCCACCATAACCAGAGAAAGTTAGCTTTCAAAACAAAAGTGCAATGGAAACAGGTGAATTGTAATGGGAATAGAACCAAGTAAAAGTCCGTAGCAAAGGGAAGTGAATGTCGTAGCCAACGATTTGTGAATCCTTTTGATGTATATAGAATTGAATAAAAAAACATTTATTGGATCCCGACTTCATATAACATTAATAATAATAATCTAATATTTAGCTGAGTGCTAACTCTTTTATTTTGAAGGTGATATCCGGTATTATTCTCTCCACCTTGACACTCGTAGTCGAGGTTTGGACTTCGTATCTCACTTAGCTTCTCCCGAGTGTAGCAAGTTGCAGCTGATCGCTGGTGCCAACGCCCGGCGAAATAGACAGATAACGTTAGCTAGTGGAGGGACATTGGTACGTAACGAAAGCAATTATCTGACCGATGTCGAATATATTTAAAAGTTCGGATGTTGTTTCCAATGCTTCGATTTGTAAGCTGGGACTGAGATACAGCAGCTATCTAGCCTTCATTTACAAGCTAATGTTAGCTAAGCTAGCTTAGTATTGTCTGTTGATTGCTAGCGCGGCGTTAGCTTAGTTTGCTAACCGATAACAAATACGTTTTCACCCTCATAATGCGTTTAATAAGCTGGGTAGTGTGATATTGTGTGATTCCTCTAAAAGTAGTAGTTATGAATTGGTCCGGGTGGGAATTGTTAAGGGAGTTAACGTTGTCTATTCTTAACGTTAGCATCCATTTCTGTTGATAACCAGCGCTAGCTAACCTAATGCTACGGCTACAAAGCCGTTTCCCTTGGACCCCCTAGCTTAATCAAAGCTGTCGTTAGCGATGATAGGGGGTGGGGGGGCACTGATATTAAATCAATTCAGGGACAATGTAACAACAACAACCCAAACTCATTAAATGTCCTAACCTCTCCCAACAGCTAAGTGCATTCCCAGCAGAATCCAAAAAAAGCAGAGATGCAGACTATCAAATGTGTGGTGGTGGGTGATGGAGCCGTGGGGAAAACCTGCCTGTTGATTTCATACACCACTAACAAATTCCCGTCTGAATACGTACCGACAGTAAGTCAGTCCGATGCAGACCGACGCCTTTTGGTTAAAAGTGTGAAAAGTGCTGTTGAGCTGACCATAACATGTCATTGGCACCTTGTATCACAGGTTTTTGACAACTATGCTGTAACTGTAATGATTGGGGGTGAACCGTACACCCTTGGATTATTTGATACAGCAGGTAAGATCTTTTTTATTTTATTTCTTTACTCGTAGTTGAATTATTTCCCTAACGGAGATCAGCTAATATGCAGTTTGGTCTCTTTATAGGTCAGGAGGATTATGACAGGTTACGACCACTAAGCTACCCACAGACAGATGTCTTCCTAGTCTGTTTCTCAGTTGTTTCACCCTCCTCGTTTGAGAATGTTAAAGAAAAGGTGAGTACAACTTTTTAATATATATATATATATATATTTATATATATATATATATATATATATATATATATATCAAATGCAGTGAGGTTGCTCACCCACACATGTCGTATTTCTTTACAAATATTTGAACTGAAACTGCTTGCAAAGTATAGTACAGATCGACTGATACCAAAGGGAATTATAAAGGAAGCGACCACACGCTGTTTAAAACATGGTAGACTTAATTGATTAGCTGTACTTAGTGGCTAATCTGCTTCTTGTTTTCGAGACTAAGTTAAATCTATACGTGTAGACTCTATATGCAGCATAGTTAAGTATTCTTGCTGCTTCTGCCACTGCTTTCTTAACTTCTAACCCCATCTAGTTATGTAAGACCGAAATGGACCGGTATCCGTATTGGTGCATCTCTGCTCCGGCCATAGTAATTTAACTTATCATTCCATGTTCTGGTAATGGTAATGTAAAGTTGTCTTTTTCTTCCATCCAAAACATCTGTTCCCCGTCACTCTATCTACCAATAGCTCCCGTCCTCAAACTGCAACCGTCTCTGTGTCATTTTATTTAATAGTATTTCATGCTTAACAACCTCCGTGTAGAATCTCCTGTGAATGTGTATGTCTTCCTTTTTCAGATGAGTAAGCGTGTGTTCTTTCCTCCCGTTTTTTTCCTCCTCCAGTGGGTTCCTGAAATAACTCACCACTGTCCTAAGACCCCGTTCCTGTTGGTAGGCACGCAGATCGACCTGCGCGATGACCCCTCCACAGTGGAGAAGCTAGCCAAGAACAAACAGAAGCCAATCACCCCTGAGACGGCGGAAAAGTTGGCTCGTGACCTTAAGGCAGTGAAATACGTTGAGTGTTCAGCCCTAACGCAGGTAAGATCTTTCATTAAACAGCGTCCGAAACCATTGCGGCGAGCATGTGCATGAATGTCGATGTCCTGGCTGTGGTGGACATGCGTTGCCTCGTCTTTTCCTAACAGCATTTGGCCAAAAAAACCTTCATCTAACTGTGTGTTGCCTGTCTCTCTGCTTCCTTTCCCTCTTTTTGTAGCGGGGACTGAAGAACGTATTTGATGAGGCTATCCTAGCCGCTTTAGAGCCCCCTGAGACTCAGAGAAAGAGAAAGTGCTGTTTGTTCTGATGTCTTTGTGCATCTAGCTTTGCCTCTCGATTGTCTGCTGCTTACTCATTGTAAAGAGATGTCTGTCACTAGAATAACTACAACGCTCTTTTAAACTTACAAGACTTTGTGCCCATTAACTTCTTCCTCCTGTCCATGCGTGCTTTCTTTTCAACTTGGCCTAATCACAACTATCCACGCTGCCTGATTTAACAATGGTGCCAATCTTTAGCTCTTCTTGTCTGTCTGTTGCAGCCTGGGTGTAAATCTGTGAAACTGGACATGACTGCATTTGTTTGTTATTCAGTCTCGATTTTACCTGCAGAGCATTTATGCCACAATCTTTCTTAGACAGTGATAATCTTTATTTAATTTTTTTTTTCTACTGCAGCATCAGAAATTTCCCATGGGCTTTTGTCTTTACTCAGACAACTTGTTCACAAAGGAGTCTTGTATAATGTTATTTGAATAAACTAAACTTTTGATTGCCCTGCTCCATTTCTACCCAGCCTTCTTTTGCAATTAGTTCCCCGAAGATGCTAATATGTATTTGGAGCACAGCCCTGTTTTGAATATTAATATTTTATTTCCACAGAAAGGATTAAAGAATGTGTTTGATGAGGCAATACTGGCGGCCCTGGAGCCTCCTGAACCTAAGAAAAGGCGTAAATGTGTTCTGCTCTAGGTTTCGTCACAGCCTTCTTCACACCAGTTTCCAAATCTAGGTTAACGGTACTGAAGAGAGTTTGATGCACAAGCACATTCCAACATGGGTTAAGATATTGTGAAATATTTTCCTTCTGACTGACTTGGCCTAACCTAAACACGTATTCAATGTGTTGAGCATGGTTTTTAGGTGGCGTGACAGCTCATGCTGTTTGTGACGATTTCGATGCCAATGAAATGGTCCCACGTGACGGGAACACTGAATACTTCAGATACGTCAGCAAACTGTTGGTGACATAATTAAATGCTGTTTCACTTTGACAACATTATATTTTAAAGGTAATTTTGTAGAAATGCAATTCCAAAAGAAGACACTAGGTATTTTTAATAGAGCCTCTGTTTTGACGGCCTTGTAAGAACTGAGAACGTTGGGTTAGTGAACTGCTCCAACTATGTATTAGTCTGTGCTACATCTATTCTTTTAAACCAATTTCCTTTCAAGGTTATCATTTGTACCACATGTTCACCACTGTGGCACGAGACTGCATTCGGCAACGTGGCATTGTCAGAATAACAAATTCTTAAAGACTAATTTCATTTCTTAATGTGTTCATAAAATGTGCCGTAGTTTACTTATTTTTTCTATACGTATATACATCATTTTACGTTCAAAGTCAACGCGGCCTTGGAGTAAATCTAAGAAACATTTGCCGACTTGACATTTCTAAGCTATTCCCCATCGTAGTTCTGGTTTGCCAAAATCTAACGTCATAAGTCGACACCTGTCAGAGGAGAGATCTGCAGAAGCCGATTAACATGTGAGAAATGGATGTTACAATTGTCAATTTAACAAACTATATGCAAGAAGTTGGAGCACAATTTCCAAGACATTTACCTTTTGTGACAAGTGAGTTAACAATGTGTGTCTTGAATACTTATCAAAGGAGAATTCCAGCCTGTAACCACAAGCTAATGAACTATTTTGCAAACTGAACGCACTTGTTCTCATAAAACTGAAATCTTATCATTTGGAACCCTGTGAAGGTCGGCACTATTTATATTTGTCTTTTAGTACAGACATGCACCTGAATTGTGACGGGCTGGAATTTGATTTGTAAATACAGAATAACTTATTGACTGAATACAATGTGTGCATTAAAAATAACGATTTGAAGGAAGCAAGGTGACACTGAAATCAAAATAACAAACAAGTTCTTTGCTTTTTATTTAATTTGACATCAAAGTTGTATTGTATCTATCTTCTAATAAAGCACCACAATAAAACAGTATTATGAATAAACTTAACTTAAAATACTACATATTGTCTGACTTTGTTCCATGAAAAAAGGGTCTAAAATCTATGAATTTTCCACTGATAGTTTTTTTTTTTTTTACAACATAACAGGACAACATTAAAAGAAATGACCTTAAGGCTGGTTGGTAATACTGTTGTAGTTGAAATATTTATAGAAAAAATCCCCTTTGATCAAAGAGATTTGCCTGGCACAGGACATTCATTCTGACCTCATGGATGTTGTAACTGTCAGAAAAGGTTCGTCTGTAGGAAAAAGGTAGTCTGTGTAGATCTGGGATCTATGGATCCATCGCTGAACATATTTCAACACAGCTGTCAGTGACGTGAATCCTGAACCATCGTCCCCAGTGCTGCTTGTCCCTGCCTCCATGTGTATAACTGATGTACCTCACTCCTGGCCCATAGTTCTGGAATACATGGGTAATCTGAAAAATAGATATTAGGAAGTTTGATTCCTACTTCAGTACCCATTTTGGACTTCTTAATTAATGCATCATGCTTTGCACTTACCTGAGTCCAATTCTGACTGTCCCACGAATCGAAGTAAATTATCTTGGGAGCAAACGTCTTGACAGGCTTCTTTTTTTTTATTCAATAACGTTACACAGATCTCATATTTACTGCCGCAATCCCGTCGTGGGGCATACCTAATAAAATAAAGCATGCACAGAGAGATCATGGGTCTGCAATTAGGGTCAACCATTCAAAAGCCTCAGTAGAAACACCTTTAGGTATGTTTTATATGTATTTGTTGCTTTTAAGGGATTACGGAATAACAATCCTTGCTTGCAATTGTATTAGATGCAGATCATGGGTATTCAGCCTTTACAGGTGCCATCATGAGGAGAGGGAGAGTTCATGTGTGTTCTTCTCACCAATCATAAATTCTGATTTCTGGCTGAAATCGATCCATGAGCGATGGGTTGTAACCTTCCTCCTCCAAATCAATCAGCTGGGACTTCATGCACATCCTGCAGACAACGGGCAGTATTGTAATTGCTGCTCAATCCAAAATGTAGTATAACACACATTGACATCTGCTGTCTGGAGCTCTGCTGGTGAGTACTGACCCGTAAGTGGTCACAAAGTTTTTCTGGACCGTCTCATTTGGGTGTGGCACCCTGACTTCCTCCACACACCACCTATCACCATCACCCAGTATCTGCCAGTCCGTCATTCCATCTACAAAAACAAAGTTGTTGTTGTGAGATCAATTATTTTTGGAGAGCTACTTTGTTTTTCACCAAGAATAAAATGGGGTGATGGCAAACAGATGGAGAGTGAAAGCAGTTCTGTGTCTTCTTACGTTCTGCTTTGGGATTCTTCAGAAGATTTCTTCTCTTCTTGCACAAGAAGTAAAACAACCTCCAGTCTTTGGTCATTTTGGAAGGATCACGGGGGCGATATCCTTCTCTTCGACATCTCTCTCTCCACAGAGACTCACTGTCAGACACTTCTCTCCACTGACGGCACACCGACCGTCAAACACCAACCACCTGATGGGGAGGTAGATGCAGGAAGATCTCCTCCAGGATCTCCAGAGGAACGGGCAACACCTGGAGACAACAGACGAGTAGAACTTTGTTGTGGTCGTGACTGAATGAAGCAGTTGCTTCGTGTTGGGGTTAAACACGTACTTGTGGGAGCGAGGTGGACGGTCCTGCAGCAGAAGACTCATTGTTTCCAGAGGTTGAACCAGAGCTCTGAGACGAAGCCATGGATTTAACTTTTCTCTACAAGCCAGGAATAAAGCCGGCCTTCAGACGTTTATTTGACAATGCAGCGGAAGATACAGTTTACAGCTTCCCTTTCAGGTAAAGTTACATTTCTATCCGATGACGTGCAACATGGAAGTGAAGGTTGAATCAAAGTGAAGTAATAGCAGCTCGTATGTGTCCTATCACTGTAAACTCAACTATCGATATGGTATCTGACAGTCAGGTTTGGTTTCACTGTCTTCTGTAGGGTTGGGTACTGAGAACCGGTGCCATACTGGTACCGCGCCGATGGACAGAAGCAGACACTTGCACGCCCACCAGCGCAAGTGTACACACACACACTTCTGCCTCTTACAGAGGGGAAACATTGTTGTTTATAGTTTGAAGTTAAAAAGTTTGAAAAGTTTTTATTCATATTTACAGTATTGTTTTAACTGTTAATTTATTGATCAATTTGAAGTAAAGAAAATGTAATTACATGACAATTAAAAAAAAACATTCTTTAATGTCGTCAATCGTTGTTTTGTGCCTTTTTTGTGTGGGCACCGGTATCGTTTTAAAAGTATTGGTTTAGTGATGATACAATCGAGCCAAAATGACCCCTGAACATTTTACGAGCTTTAAAATAAAACAAAAAGCACCAAAAGTTGTTCAGCAACAACAGAGAGACGGATTCTAATAATGTAGAAAGTGAGATGGAAAATTTGTGTAACCCTTCAAAATGTTTCATTCAATGAACAAGGTTATAAATTGCAAATGCTGGGATGGTGTGGCCATGATAAAGAATTGAGCTGGAGTGTGTCACACCGATAAGATGCCAGTCTCCTGGCTGTAGAGGCCACCTGTAGGGATAAGAACTGCCTGGCCCTGTTATGGGAGAAGGAAGATTCTTGGCAGTCTACTGAGCACGTAGCTGTTGTGACCTTTTCTCCCTTGCAAGGAAATAAACGGAAAAGACATATTTGACTCAGAGCCTTTATTCTTATTTACCGATTGTCTGTGCAAAATCTTCCACAACAAAATTAAAAAAGGGGCTTTAATGTATTCAATCATGTAGACACTGATGTTTATGTACAATATAGTAGATAGACCTTGATCACTCATTACAGGCCGTATATAAAACATAAAGGAAAAGTTAACAGGGACTTCAATCTGTGTCGTATCTAAAATAATTTAATTTCGACTCAATGTTGACTTCGGAGGATGATGTGACATGTTACTGAAACAACTAAACTTACTGCAAAGATGTGTGAGTGGGACCCTTTGGAGAATTGATCACTATTTAACCTCAATTTTCCTCTGAAATACTTTTGGAGAATGATGTGACATGTTACTGCAAAGATATGTGAGTGAGACGGTTATGTCCCTAAAGTGTCTAGGGATGGGGGACGTAAACAAGTTAAAATAATAAACCCGGGAGATCGGGACCAACGGCAAAAAAGGAGGATATTGGAGAATTATTTAACCTGAATTTTTCCCTGAAATACATTTGTTTTTAAACTTTACATTTGACCTGTGTGTGGACAAATATGTGGTTTCAGTTCTGCTGTGCAGCACTGCTTTAACTTATGAAGCGTATATCACAAAAGTGTGCTATACCACGTTAAATCCTCATTTAGGCCTTTATAAGGCATTGGGGGTGTTATGACAATGACATTTCACAAAAAACCGATGCACATACAGGAGTCATAGCCTCTTACAGAGGACAAAAACTCTCCTTCAACATGTAAAATCACTGCAGATTACATAAGAAAAACAAGAATTGGTACAATTTCCCCCAAACCAGCTGTAATTATGAAATTGTTGTGCAGTGGCAGGAAGCAGGAGGATTGTGAGTATCCAAGATCTATGAATCCATTGCTGGATTTATCTCAACACAGCTGTCAGTGACACGAACTCCATACCGTCCGGCCCAGAACTGCGTGTCCTTGCCTCCATGGATGAAATGTATGTACCTCACTCCTGGCCCATAGTCCTGGAATACATGGGTGATCTGAAAAATAGATACACGGAAGTCTATGATTGTCCTTAAATACCTTTTCAGGATTTCTTCTTAATTAATGCATTGTGCTTTGTGTTTACCTGAATCCATTTCTCATTGGTCCACTGCTCAAAGTAAACCTTCTCAGGAGCAAACGTCTGTATAGGCTTTTTTTTTTTATCCAATAATTCTACACAGATATTGTACTCACAGCCACAATCCCGTCGGTGGATACACCTGTAGAACAAGAGATCAGGGTTCTGCAATTAGGTTCAACCATTCACAGCCTCAGTAGAAATATTATGTTTTTCAAATGCTTTTTTTATTGCTTTAAGGCTGTTAATCCTAAAATGATTTTACACAAAATTACATTCACATGATTTGAAGTGAAGCAGTTAATATTCGGTTGAAGAGAAGACTTTTGTGCATGACACAAACCTGTACGTTGAGACAGTCCATGCTTACATTATTTGCCTGCGTTCATTTACTGATCGTACATGTAGCAGAGTCATTCCAGCACCCTAAACTATTGTAACCTGCCTCTCGTGTGAGGGCTGTATTAAATGCAACAAGATCATGTGTATTCAGCCTTTGCATGAGGAGAGGGAGAGTTCTTCATGTGTGTTCTTCTCACCAATCATAAATTCTGATTTCTGGCTGAAATTGATCCATGAACGATGGGTTGTAACCTTCCACCTTCAAATCAATCAGCTGGGACTTCCTGCACATCCTGCAGACACCAGAGAGGGTTTTATCTGCTGCTCAATCCAAAATGTAGTATAACACACATTGACATCTGCTGTCTGGAGCTCTGCTGGTGAGTACTGACCAGTAAGAAGTCACAAAGTATTTCTGGACCGTCTCATTCGGATGTGGCACCCTGACTCTATCCACATCCCACCCATCACCACCATTCTCCACTATCTGCCAGTCCGTCATTCCATCTACAAAAAAAGAGGGGGGGTTGTGAGATCAATTATTTTCTGAGAGCTACCTTGTTTTTGAGCAGGAATAAAATGGGGTGATGACAAACAGATGGAGAGTGAAATCAGTTCTGTGGCTTCTTACGTTCTCCTTTGGGATTCTTCAGAAGATTTCTTCTCTTCTTGCACAAGAAGTAAAACAACCCCCAGTTTTTGGTCATTTTGGAAGGATCACGGGGGCGATATCCTTCTCTTCGACATCTCTCTTTCCACAGAGACTCACTGTCAGACACTTCTCTCCACTGACGGCACACTGACCGACAAACACCAACCACCTGATGGGGAGGTAGATGCAGGAAGATCTCCTCCAGGATCTCCAGAGGAACGGGGAACACCTGGAGACAATAGACGGGACACAGATCAGCTCCAACTCTCGAGGGTCTGTTTAGTTTTCAAGCATAGACTTTGAACCCATGAGACTAAGCTGGTCCCCACAGTTGCTTCGTGTTTGGGAGAATCTAAACACTTACTTGTGGGAGCGAGGTGGACGGTCCTGAAGCAGAAGACTCATTGTTTCCAGAACCAAAGCTCTGAGACGAAGCCATGGCTTTAGCTTTCCTCTACGAGCCTGCGATAGACCCGGGCTTCGGACGTTTATCTGACAGTGCAGCCGAAGGTACCGACTCTCTGATGACCTGTTCAGTAAGGATACAGCTCACTGTGACGGATATGTTGTTACAGCTTCTATGTAAACTTACATTCCTATCTGATGACGCGCAACACAGAAGTGCAGGTCAAAGCAAAGTGAGTTGACTTTTTTCTCTGGGCTACTGAGATGTGATACACAACGTTTGGTGGCTATACAACTATTTTGTGCAGAAAGGCAGCGATTTACCAACCGTATTGTAAAAGCTGCGCGTTGGGCCTAACAACACCATTGAAGTGTAACATTATTGACGATACAGTACAGCCTCTCGTACCTTATTGCTTTAATTTAAATAATATAATTCACTCGAATATCTACTGATAGAATTGTTATATTATAATATATAAGACCACTTCTTAGTTTATAAAAGCACATAAGCTACGTGATGTTGGTAACCGATGTTGTGTTTTTAAATACACATAAGACAAGAACAAACAGCTCTTATTTATAACGTTAACTCCGTCCTGCGGTTAACGGCAGCTCATCTGCCCGCAGTTTTTAGGGAAAAGTTATTTTAATGCCTTAACTTTTACACTTTAGAGGCCGACTAATATCTTACTACGGTTGAAAAGGTTTTATTTATAGTTTATACTTCATATTATGAACAGGAATGGATCAAAGTGAGCTCAAGTAGACGAGTTATGAACCTGATCACTTTCCAAGTCAGTAACGTTACAAACGTTGAGAATAAATACACAAAGAAACTGAATTTGGTTGCTCTGCTCCTTTTGTTTTGTGGTGTGATTATGAACTAACTTTACATTTAGTTGTGTTTTATGGAGCAGGAGGAAGCAGCATCAAGGTGAAGGAGAGAACGATGTGACATTCAGTAACTGTAGCTTGCACATATCCTGTAATATCTTGGGCTTACAGTTAGAAAAGCTTGTATCCTATGCAAGAAAAAAAAAAGAACTTGCATTCAAGTTAACACATGTGTTTGCTTTTGTTGACAGCACTGATTAATTTCCTTAGCCTTGATTGCAGTGTTATTTTTAGCTGAAACAACATGGCTTAACTTATTTATTTAGAACTTGAAATAACTGGAAAATGTCCTTCTCTCCTTAACAGATGTGTGTGGCCATGGAAGAAGTCGACTCAGATAATGATCTTTGCAGCATTTATTTGTTCCCGCAGAAGACAATTGAACACAGACATTGTCTTCTGGTCTCTTCCTGCACATCAGCTTCCTTCAACAGTACAAAACTTCCGTGAAGGAAAAACGGGCCTACCTAAAATCCAAATTATAACTTGTCAAAATAATGCATCATGACAAAAAGGGGAAACAACAAGGGAACAAAATAAATAACTGCGTGAGCTAGAGTGACTCGGCGGAAACAGCGAATATTCCAACATTAAACAAAAGAAAAGACATACCTGCAGAAGACAATTAAACACAGACGGTGCCTTCTGGTATTTCTCTCTGCACATCAGCTTTCTAGACACGGAAAACAACACGATTTAGAAAAGGAAAGTAACGGAGACGTCACTGCGACCTGGTGTAGCCGAAACAAACGGCACCAAACAGGCAAAATGAAACAGCCATAAAATGACACTCTTACCTTCTAATATAATGGCACACAACAGCTGGACACCGTGATCGTATTAGCGACCATTACGGTGTGTAACATAAAGAGTTACATTTTTAAAGAATATAACAATCATTTTTCAAACAACTTAAGATTCAACGGTATAAAACGTCTGTGACGGAAAAAACGGAACTACGGAAGCCTAGGAGGAGGAAATGAGATGAAACGCAATTTCCGCAGGAAACAGTTCCAACTCATGGAAATAAAACGCACACACTCAACAAGATCGTTGAATAATAACAATACATTTAAAATAAGAAATGATAAAGTGTATTTCTGACTCCGTTACATCTCAGCCTGAAATACATCATGATCCGGAGGTGAAGCATATCTTCCTAAATTAAATTAAATCAGAAAGATGACTTTATCTATCTGTGCTCGATAAGTTTTTCGGCTTTTGAGGCTTTTACAGTCACGCGCAGCAGGTTGCTAGGCAACGGGAGCAGTGGCGGTAAAGTGCCCCCGTAGGCCAAACCGCCCCGTTTGCTCGGTTCAGCCTATGCGGTCGTTTTAGGACCGAGCTCAGGTCTACCGCGGAGACTGGGTCCTACAAGAATGCAACTGCCAGAATTGAGTCACAGATACTGTCTTGTGTCGTACTTCTAGCCCCGATAGACGTTCAGCTTCTCTGCCGTTCGGAGGGCAAAAGTAGCGCTCGATATTCAGCCCTGGACACCCGGGTGAACGTCAAACTGTTCATCGTGATTTGATTGGTTAGGCAATAATAATTGGGCGGGGCTAAATTGAGATTGGGATATTTTTTTTTCCAACTTTAATGCTTTCATTTTGAAATTGTACTCTGCAGAATAATACAGTTCTCCCCATATTCTCTCTGGAATGTACTGCTGGTGACAGGCATGAGTTGTGTGTTCGTGGTTGTGTGTCTAAGTCACACCAGCTGATCAAGTCGGCATTGTAACCATTCTAGAGATGTTTTTCGGGTTACAGAAAGCATTTGGTCAGTATCTCAGCCCTCTGATGCACTCATTTTTACTCCTAGAAAGGCAGGGTTACATTTTTATCACAGGGTTAACTAGTTGTTGGTCTCATGGTTTCAGTGAATCTTTCACTTTCTTTTGATGGCACGCAAACAAGCGAGGGGAGAAAAGACTCATTGACCGTTCACCCAGATCAAGGAAAGGATCACAGCTTCCGTGTAACTGAAACGTTGACTCAATCTACCGGAAGAACTCTTCCTCGACTCTATATAATCACAACACTTTTCATATTAAGTGTTCACGTGTTGATCTACTGTTAAAACTGAAACTGATGTTTTACCTTTTACGTTCATATTATATCACACATTTCAGTAGTCTTCTTCTCCTCGAGAAATGGACAAATTAGCAATGCTTCAATGGAGCCAAAATGAGCCAAAAATATCTCACTTGCTTTAATTTATTCAATCATATAGGCACTGACATTTGTGTACATTACAGTAGATAGATCGTGATGAATTACAAGACGTACAAAGCACACATGAAAAGTTAACAGGAACTTTAATTTAATTGGGACACAATGTTACATTTGGAGATGATGTGACATGTTAATGAAACTCACTGCAAAGATGTGTGAGTGAGACACTTGGAGAATTATTTAACCTGAATTTTCCCCTGAAATACTTTTGTTTTTCAACTTTACATTTGACCTGTGTGTGGACAAATATGTTGTTTCAGTTCTGCTGTGCAGCACTGCTTTAACTCAAGAACCGTATATCACAAAAGCATGCTATACCACGTTAAATCCTCATTTAGGCCTTGGTAAGGCATTGGGGGTGTTATGACAATGGCACTTCACAAAAAACCGATGCACATACAGGAGTCATAGCCTCTTACAGAGGACAAAAAACTCTCCTTCATGTAAAATCACTGCAGATTGCATAAGAAAAACAAGAATTGGTACAATTTCCCCCAAACCAGCTGTAATTATGAAATTGTTGTGCAGTGGCAGGAAGCAGGAGGATTGTGAGTATCCAAGATCTATGAATCCATTGCTGGATTTATCTCAACACAGCTGTCAGTGACACGAATTCCATACCATCCCTTCCAGAACTGCGTGTCCTTGCCTCCATGGATGAAATGTATGTACCTCACTCCTTTCCCATAGTCCTGGAATACATGGGTGATCTGAAAAATAGATTGTCCTTCAGTACCTTCTCAGGACTTCTTCTTAATTAATGCATGGTGCTTTGTGTTTACCTGAGTCCATTTCTCATCGGTCCACTGCTCAAAGTAAACTGTCTCAGGAGCAAACGTCTGGAGAGATTGTTTTTTATGATTCAATAATTCTACCCGCAGCTCGTATTTACTGCCGCAATCACATCGCGGGGAATACCTAATACAAACACAACATGTGCAAAGAGATGAGGGGTCTGCAATTAGTTTAAACCATTCAACAGCCTCAGTAGAAACATTATGTATGTTTTTGATAAGTTATGTTTAATTATTTTAAGGGTAACAGTTAAAGCTAATTTTTCGCAAATAATTACTCAACATATGTTCTGTGTTGCACTGTGAGACTAATATAACATTTGGTCTCAATACCTAGTACAGTTATGATGGACGTATATATATTTTCTCCACTCATGGCAAAACTTTGCCTTCTTCATTCATAGTTTCAAAGCAGCTTCTGTTATCAACAAAAAACCTGTACGTTGAGATGGTCCATGCTACATTATTGGCCTGGGTTCATTTACTCATCGTACATGTAGCAGACTTCATTCCAGCCCCCTAAGTTATTCAAAAAAACTGCCTCTCCTCATGTGGGCACTGTATTAAATGCAACAAGGTCATGGGTATTCAGGCTTTACAGGTGCCATCCTGAGGAGAGGGAGAGTTCTTCATGTGTGTTCTTCTCACCAATCATAAATTCTGATTTCTGGCTGAAACCGATCCATGAACGATGGGTTGTAACCTTCCACCTTCAAATCAATCAGCTGGGACTTCCTGCACATCCTGAAGACACCAGAGAGGGTTTTATCCGCTGCTCATTCCAAATGTAGTATAACACACATTGACATCTGCTGTCTGGAGCTCTGCTGGTAAGTACTGACCCGTAAGAAGTCACAAAGTCTTTCTGGACCGTCTCATTCGGATGTGGCCTCCTGAGTTCCCCAAAACACCACCCATCACCACCATTCTCCACTATCCGCCAGTCCGTCATTCCATCTAGAAAAACAAAGAGGGGGGTTGTGTGATCAATTATTTTTTGAGAGCTATTTCGTTTTTTAAGTAGGAGAAAAATGGGTTGATTGCAAACAGATGGAGAGTGAAATCACTTCTGTGGTTTCTTACGTTCTGCTTTGGGATTCTTCAGAAGATTTCTTCTCTTCTTGCACAAGAAGTAAAACAACCTCCAGTCTTTGGTCATTTTGGAAGGATCACGGGGGCGATATCCTTCTCTTCGACATCTCTCTCTCCACAGAGACTCACTGTCAGACACTTCTCTCCACTGACGGCACACTGACCGACAAACACCAACCACCTGATGGGGAGGTAGATGCAGGAAGATCTCCTCCAGGATCTCCAGAGGAACGGGCAACACCTGGAGACAACAGACAAGTAGAACTTTGATGTGGTCGTGACTGAATGAAGCAGTTGCTTCGTGTTGGGGAGAATCTAAACACTTACTTGTGGGAGCGAGGTGGACGGTCCTGCAGCAGAAGACTCATTGTTTCCAGAGGTTGAACCAGAGCTCTGAGACGAACCCATGGCTTTAGCTTTCCCTTACAAGCCTGCGATAGACCCGGGCTTCGGACGTTTATTTGAAAATGCAGCCAAAGATACAGCTTACAGCTTCCCTTTCAGGTAAAGATATTTTCCTTCTCCAATGACGCGCTCGTATGTGTCCTACGACTGTAAACGTAACAAATGACCGCCGATATTATCTGAAGGGACAGTCACTTTCGGTTTCACTCTGTCTTCTGCAGCGGGTTGGACACCGAGAGTCTCGCGCCCACACGTGAGCACGCGGTCACCAGCGGTCACCGAGCATGCGTCTGCAAGCACCGCCCCCTCAGTCGCGCGCCTCCGTCCCGCCGCCAAAGTTGTAAAGCGGGGGTGTAGCGTTGTTCGTCATTAAGCCGCGTTGAGCTTCAGACACAGTGACGTTGTTTCCTCGCGGCAATGACAGGAGATCGCTTCATTCTTTTCGTTTTGTCTTTATTTTTACGCAGCAAAGCGTTAACTAAACATAGAAATAATACATTCTGGCACACGGTAGAAAAACGATATGCTCTCGTGCGTAATGCAGCTCTTCTGTGTTGCACCTGCTGCAATCATGACGTCAATAAATTGAGACAAACAAGGAGCGTCAATCCAACACAAATGGTTTTCAATATATGTTACATATCTCTAGGTCATGCACAATGAACATAGATGTAAAATTAAATCATTAATATTCCCCAAATTCCAATTAACTATATAGATTATATATATATACTTCCGGCTGTTGTTTTGTGCTTTTTTTGTTTGGGCACCGGTATCGTTTTAGAAATATTGGTTTAGCACCAGTATCGGAAGAAACCAAAATAATACCTATCCATTACTACTGGACATCCGGTGTGAACGTCAAACTTTTCATCATAGCCTGATTTGATTGTTTGAGCAATAATAATTGGGTGGGGCTAAATTGAGATAGTGATTCTTTATTTCCAACTTTAAAGCTTTCATTTTGAAATTGTAGTCTTTAGGATAATAAAGTTATCACAATATTGTCTCTGTAATCTACTGATTGTGTCAGGCATGAGTTGTGTGTCCACAAGCCACGCCAAGCTGCACGAGTCGGTATTGTAACCATTCTAGAACTGTTTTTAGAGTTACAAGAAGCATTTGGTCAGTATCTCAGCCCTCTTTGGATGATCAACTCATTATTATTCCCGAAAAGGCAATCAGCAATGATACAAGGGCAGGGTTACATTATTGTTGGTCTCATGGTGGTTTTCAGTGAATCTTTTGATGGCACCCAAACAAGCGAGGGGAGAAAAGACTCATTGACAGTTCACCCAGATCAAGGAAAGGATCACAGCTTCCGTGGAACGGAAACGTTGACTCTACCAAAGTCAAATCTACCAAAAAAACTCTTCCTTAACTCTATATAATCACAACCTTTTCCTTATTAAAGTGTTCACATGTTGATTTACTGTTAAAACTGATGTTTTACCTTTCATGTTCATATTATATCACACATTTCAGTAGTCTTCGTCTCCTGGAGAAATGGATAAATCAGCAATGCCTCAATGGAGCCAAAATGATCCAAAAACATTTTACTTGCTTTAAAAAAAGGAAAAGTACCAAAATGTTTCAGCAACCACAGAGATGGATTTTAATCATGTAGAAGGTAAAAAAAAAAGTGCATTCATGTATTCAATAATGTAGGCACTGACGTTTGTGTACAATACAGTAAATAGACCGTGAGTAAATTACAAGCCGTATACAAAACATAAATGAAAAGTTAACAGGGACTTCAATCTGTTTCGTATCTAAAATATTTTAATTTGGACTCAATGTTGACTTCGGAGGATAATGTTACTGAAACAACCAAATTTACTGCAAAGATGTGAGAGTGTGGAGAATTATATTCAATTATAACCTGAATTTTTCCCTGAAATACTTTTGTTTTTAAACTTTACATTTGACCTGTGTGTGGACAAATATGTGGTTTCAGTTCTGCTGTGCAGCACTGCTTTAACTCAAGAACCGTATATCACAAAAGCATGCTATACCACCTTAAATCCTCATTTAGGTCTTTATAAGGCATTGGGGGTGTTATGACAATGACATTTCACAAAGAAACCGATGCACATACAGGAGTCATAGCCTCTTACAGAGGACAAAAAACTCTCCTTCAACATGTCAAATGACTGCAGATTACATAAGAAAAACAAGAATTGGTACAATTTCCCCCAAACCATGTGCAATTATGAAATTGTTGTGTAGTGGCGGGAAGCAGGAGGTTTGTGAGTATCCAAGATCTATGAATCCATTGCTGGATTTATCTCAACACAGCTGTCAGTGATACGAACTCCATACCGTCCGGCCCAGTACTTTGTGTCCTTGCCTCCATGGATGAAATGTATGTACCTCACTCCTGGCCCATAGTCCTGGAATACATGGGTGATCTGAAAAATAGATACACGGAAGTCTATGATTGTCCTTCACTTCCTACTCTGGACTTCTTAATTAATGCATCGTGCTTTGTGTTTACCTGAGTCCAACTCTGATCATTCCACTGCTCAAAGTAAACTTTCTCAGGAGCAAACGTCTGCATAGGATTTTTTTGTTCATCCAATAATTCTACACAGATATTGTACTCACAGCCACAATCCCATCGTGGGGCACACCTAATACAAGAACAACATGCACTCTGATCAGGGCTCTGCAATTAGGTTCAACCATTCAATAGTCTCAGTATAAACATTATGGATGTTTTTGATATGCTTATATATGTTATATATGTATTGCTTTAAAACAGGTACTGACTCCCTAAAATTATTTTAATATTATTATATTTTGTCAATACTTGACTAACATACAACAAACAGCAAACATACAGCTTTGGCCATAAGTACTTGAATTGAGAAACATTTTTCTACACGTTGCTTTACACAACTCCAAATGCTTTGAAGTGAAGCAATTAATATTTGGTTGGAGTGTAGACTATCACCTTCAGTTCCATGCACAAAAACATCACGACACAAACCTGCACGGCTGCAACAAGGTCATGTGTATTAAGACTTTACACAGTGGCCATAAGGAGGAGAGCGAGAGGGAGAGTTCTTCATGTGTGTTCTTCTCACCAATCAGAAATTCTGATTTCTGGCTGAAACCGATCCATGAACGATGGGTTGTAACCTTCCTCCTCCAAATCAATCAGCTGGGACTTCCTGCACATCCTGAAGACACCAGAGAGGGTTTTATCCGCTGCTCAACCCAAATGTTTGAAATCTGCTGTCTGGAGCTCTGCTGGTGAGTACTGACCAGTAAGAGGTCACAAAGTTTAGCTGGACCGTTTCCTTGGGATGTGGAACCATGACTCCATCCACACACCACCCATCACCACCATTCTCCACTATCTTCCAGTCCGTCATTCCATCTATAAAAACAAAGAAGGGGGGGGGTTGTAAAATTATTTTTTTCATTTTTTAAGCAGGAATAAAATGGGGTGATGGCAAACGGATGGAGAGTGGAAGCAGTTCTGTGGTTTCTTACGTTCTCCTTTGGGATTCTTCAGAAGATTTCTTCTCTTCTTGCACAAGAAGTAAAACAACCTCCAGTCTTTGGTCATTTTGGAAGGATCACGGGGGCGATATCCTTCTCTTCGACATCTCTCTTTCCACAGAGACTCACTGTCAGCCACTTCTTCCCACTGACGGCACACTGACCGACAAACACCAACCACCTGATGGGGAGGTAGATGCAGGAAGATCTCCTCCAGGATCTCCAGAGGAACGGGCAACACCTGGAGACAACAGACGAGTAGAACTTTGTTGTGGTCTTGCCTACATTTATAGCTGTGTCTCAAAGTCGCTAGGCTGCATCCTTAAGGATGCATTTTTCGACCGCATGTCACTTCAGCTGCGACTTGCCTGTCCCAATCCGTCGGCTCCTCCGAACGTGGTCGAGAGACGCAGCCCTCCAGGAGCCGATTTGGAGGACACATCTGACCTATCCTTTGCAGCCCAGCATATCCCAGCATGCAGTGCGGGCAGACGAGGATTTCATTTATTCACGACGGATGCGGGTGATCCGACAGCGCGGAAACGTTCACTTTTAAATTAACAGAATTCCCTTGAATATCTACCGATAGAAATGTTATATTATAACATAAACATCACGTTAGTTTATGAAATCACTTAAGTTACGTGACGTTGGTAATCAATGTTGTGTTTTTAAATTAAACAAACTGCTCCTAGTTATAACGTTAACGCTGTCCTGCTGCCCCTCATACGGCCCGTGACCCAGACTCGCACCTGAACCTGCATCCGCCCGTAATTATTAGTGAAAAGTCACTTTCAGAACTTTTGAGGTTGACGCTGTGACGGTTTTATATATAGTTCATACTTTCATATTCATATTATGAACACAAGTGGATCATAGGGAGCTCAGGTAGACAAGTCATGAATCTGAAATATCACTTTCTAAGTCAGTGATACAGAATAAATACACAAAAAAACTGAACTTGCTTTGCTCCTTTTGTTTTGTGGTGTGATTATGAACTAACTTTACATTTAGTTGTGTTTTATGGAGCAGGAGGAAGCTGAAGGAGAACGGTGTGTATTGACATTGATCTACTGTAGCGTGGAGATACTGTAATATTTTACAGTTAAAATAGCTTGTCTCCCCCAAGTCTAAGAATCTAAACACTTACTTGTGGGAGCGAGGTGGAAGACTCGTCGTTTCCAGGGGCTGAAGCAGAGCTCTGAGACGAACCCATAACTTTAGCGTTCCTCTACGAGCCTGGGACAGAACCGGGCTTTGGGACGTTTACTCGACAATGCAGCAGAAGACACCGACTCCCTCGACTTTCATGTCGGCCGCCCACATGACTCGCAGTCTGTAACAGATATGAGGTCACACAACACGGAAGTGCAGCTCGCGGGAGGCTAAAAGCAGCTTGAATGTTTGCTATGGCTGTAGACCTATAACACCACAGATGTACCTGAAAGGACAGCCGCTTCTGGTTTTACGTGTCTTGTAACTTTTGTCATACGTCGATTCCCGACAGACATCCGGCTTCCGGGGAAAAGTAGCGCTCGATGTTCATACCAGTACACCCGAGCTCACGTCGACTAACTGCTGACTTCTCATCATAGCGCGATCTGATTGGTTTAGCAGTCTTAATTGGGCGGGGCTTAATGGATATGATTTTTTCTTTTGAATCGGCAAAATTCCTGCTACCGCAACGAGCTTCCAGATCCTTCACTGAAGTGTAAATAACACACATACGTACCACCATGAAAGCGTACCGGGTACGTTAGACAAACGCAATTACATGAAAACCGCGAAGACTGCGGCCAAAGAGGGAGTTGCAGAAATATCGCTTCAGCTTCCGTTACGCTGTCAGTTCATCGGGGTGCGCTCGTTTTAGCCTCCGGGGGCGCCCGGGCTTGACCCCGACACGTTATACTGTAAAGACTCACAATATCTAAGATCAAATCCGTGGAAGAGGGGGGGGCAGGTTGGAATGGCAGCGTATACCAGGTGGCCTCCAATTATTCTGGTAAAACCTGGTCGTCCAGTTATCCCGAAGAAAATACAGAACTTTTCAAACTCCATTTTCTTTCAAGAAAAATCCTCATTCTAGAGATATTTGTATTTTTTCCGGAAGCATCTGGTCTTTGCACGATCCTCCTCATCCCATTATCATTATTCCTGAAAAGGCAGGGTTGCATTTTTTCACAGGGAGTTAAGCCATCCTTGGTCTCACGGGAGTTTCACTCAATCTTCCCCTTTTCTGTTGATGGCACACAAACAAGGGAAGGATCCCAGGGAGAAGAGCTCCAGTGTAACTAACAACCAATGAGCCAACTGATAATCATAATACTTTCCTTCTACAGTTTTTCTGTTCATGTTATCATTCAAAATTCCCATATCCCCACAGTACTCCTCCCCCGATGACATTGACAAATCAGCCATACTTAAAGCAATATGATCCCCAAAACAATCCATTTCACAAGCTTTACAAAAAGAAAAGTGACGAAAATGCTTCAGCGACATGAGACTGATTTTAATAATATGGCAAATAAACAAAAGGTGCATTCATGTATTCAATCATGTAGGCACTGCAGTTTGTGTACAATACAGCTGATAGACCTCTATCACAAATTACAAGCCATATACCAAAAATAAATGGATACCAAGACCCGGGACATTAGATTTGATTTGGATGTCTTTAGATTTTCAAGCAAAACACCGTCCACGGATCCTGAATTATGATCAATCCAGTCCGTGGTGCTTTCACGCCGCGCTGGATATTTAAACCAATATAACGAAGAACAAGAAAAAAAAAAAGAAGGTAAATGCATGATTTCTGAATAACACAGACTTCGATCTGCGTCGCATCTAAAACAGGGGTTGAATCCATCTTCTGACAGCCAGCCGAGGGATGAGTCTTTTCGGGGGGCTCCTATGTGTCCGCGTCGATCCTGTGAGCTGCGCGGTGGAAACAGTTACACAGAAGTGAGAAATAACGCCGCTGGCAGAACAGCTCAGTGGGTTCTAGCAGGCTCTCTCAGCTCGGATAGAATATTCTGAGAAGTGTTGCGTCACGCAAATCTACAATGAGTCGGGGTTCAAGTCGAGTCCCGCTGCTGTCAGCGAGATCTGAAACAGGGGCTGGTGAGTCAGTGCAAGATGATCCACCAGATCTTTGAGTCTGCACTGAAGTACTTACATCACGCCAAGGCACCCCAATGAATGGAGGTGAAACTTTAACCGGATAGATATCCTCGTGGAACTTCCCCAGTTGATTATTGGTTACAAGTTCCCTGACATTTGTGTTGAAATAAACAATTGTCTTATTAAAGCTGCACGATCTCGGCTACATTTCTGGAACACAAATCTGAACATTGGATAAAGCCAGGTTCAAAGTGTCTCTTGTTGTTGGTATATTAGGTTTCAAAAAAAGGTTTTTACAAAGGGAATTTAGGCATATTTAAAAAAGATACAATAGATCAATCAGGCTACAAATGAGAAGCCTTTGTAAAAACGTTCATAAGATACACAGAAATTAAACTTAAATGTTTGGTGTATGTAAAGTGATAAAAATGTTAATTTTGAAGACACTAAAGGGGAATAAGATGACAAAAAAACATTTAGATATCATCATGAAATGTTGATTACATTCAATTATTGCATATACTTTGGATTTAGGACTTCTATTTATAAGTTTTCTGAAATTGTAAATTTAAAGGAAACGATTCCTTTTCTGGTTGAACCTGTATTTTGGCTTTCTACAAACTTGGTTAAATACTTAATGCCCTTTATATTTGTCGGTCTGCACCTCTATTCACCAATGTTTTGCATGTGTTGTCTGGCTTTATCGGCACAGCGGCGTGATCCCAAAGCGGGCGTTTTCCACGTGACGTATTCTACACAGAACTTACATTGCTTTGGTATCCTGAGTGCTTCGGCGTCTGCTGACAGGACCTGATGCATGACTCCGCGGAACTGATACAGCACCTTCAGGCTCTTCTCCTCCCCCACACAGGGGTCATAGAAGCCAGGGAGTCCCGACTGTGGAGCAAACACAAAGGTCACGTGTGGCGGCAGCAGCAGCAGCAGCAGGTGGAGTCATCAGGTGGAGGACAGCAGTTTGTAACCACCGGTATGTGCACGGTAGGTCGTCAGATGTTCCGCGCGCCACGGAAACACCCCGTGTTGCATCGGTGGACGCAGTGACGTTACGTCGGCAACGTGTACGTCATAGAATCGGGTTCCGATTAAGTTCTTACCTTTGTTGCCTCAGTGAGGATGAGTTTAGAGTCCTTCACCAGACACTGCAGCGGCACGGTCACATCGATGACCTTTGCCCTCTCGTGTTTTCTACTGTTGTCAGTCACAAACTTGCCGTACCAGGCGTTGAGGATGATGAGGCCTGGTTTAATGAAGCGGCATCAGAGAGGGTGTGAGTAAACTGAAGACGTGATGTGTTAATGTGTTTTTTGTATTACATGAGGTTGGGCAAATTCCACGAAATAATCATTTCAGGCCTGCATGTTTGAAACTTAAGCCTCATATTTAATAACAGACTCAATGTCATTTTGGAGACTTTCATTGCAAGTTTATAAGAAAAAGGCAATTAATTTTAATTGCAGGCTGCACAAACAATACCATCACTATTTTATCTAGAGGGCTCCATTGAATAATAAAGTGTGTGTGTCCGTCATCACACATTGACACAAACACACTATTAACATTGCTTTAAGTGCAAAGTCTAGGGGACCTCTGATGATACTAAAATGAAAGCAACCTCTACAGTGACAGGTGTCACAAACCAATTATCACTCGCTCCCCAAGGTGAAAATGACTGCTGAGGACTTTTTGTGTGGTACTTAACAGAGGCAAAAAATACACAATTATCACTCATCACAAAAGCAGCAGGGTATTTGAAAAAAGTCCACCGATTTCTCTATTTAATAGCTTTCTACAAAATCTAACTAGGGATGATCAGTTTCCACTCATGGAGAAAGCCTAATCTCTAGTCTAGCCTCTTGCAGGTGCACCGCCCAATAGACTCACTAAAGGTGTGTATCATTCTTTAGTTACATTTCATTTTTTGATGCTTGACAACAGTGGCGACATTATTGCTAAAATCAAAAGTCTTGTATGACATAATGAAAACAAGGGCGCCACATCTCACACGGACACACTCACTAAGAACACATAAAACAATGTTCTGAATGTAAGATAAGTATTCTCACGCCGTGCTAACAAGCCTCATCCTTGCAAGAATTTCCTCCACATTACACATCTTACCCATTCTCGACTCCTCGGTTTCAATTATCCGGCGCACAGACTCCTGCATGAGCAAAACCTTTAGAGATGGAAAAAAGGCACACGGGGGGAAAGGAAGCAGAACGACACAAACAATGAGATTGCAAATCATATGGATTATAGTAATGATTTTCACTAACATGGTCCCTTCTTATCTGGCTGCTGTGGGACGTGTAACATTTTGGGAGACAGGACCCGCACGTCTCATCTGATGCCAAACTACAATCTGCGTCTGGTCACGCGCACGCTTGTGAAATACTCACAGCGGACTCTGCCTCCTGTTTCTTCCTGGCTATATTAGAGGCCGAGCTCTCCTGCTGCTTCTCCAGGTCTCTGGGTGGTTGGAAGATAAACCGAGAAATGAAATGAGCTCATAAAACGCCGACATAATAATACACGTGGCGCTATTTCCAATAACACTTTTCTTGCATGAAGGAACTTAAAGAGACGGGGTTCTTACTGTTCCTTCTGAGCCCTCACGTAGGGCCGAATAATGAGCTGCTGAATGGCGAGGTAGAAAACCAGTGGTCCGACTGTGGCATAAAATACAGCACTTGGCAGGAGTTGGTCGGTCAGGTGAATGGGGAAGAAATACGTCTGACTGGCTCGGTTGAGTCTGCGGATACAGAGCTCTCTAGGTTAGGCAGAATAGAGAGAATCGTGTGCCGATTGTTCCTACAATGTTAGAAAAATGGTGTCAAAAACACAAGGCCGGAGCATATAGAGCATCTTTATGCTCATGAGCATCTTTATGCTCATGCAAATGTCCCCTGCTGGGGGGGGGGGGGGGTGGCAATAAAGAGTTATCTTTATATATTCATATCCCAAACCCAGGCAGCATCCTCATGGGTCCAATCCTTTGTTTACATCCTCAAAGACCCCGGCACAGCACGCAACTTATAGAAACGTCTCAGGCCCGTCTGGCCCGATGTCACGTCGGGAATCCTGTGGGCGCCATGGCAACAGCGCTGCGAGGAGAACCCTGTGGGAACCGGAGCACAGAGGTGCACTCACTTGATCTTGAGAGAAACACCTTGGGGCACTCCCACGCTGACGGTGGCCCCCAGGACGCTGTGTCGACTGATCTTCCTCTCAGCGCCGTACTCCAGCACGGTGCCAAAGAAACCCGATCTGCGACACGAAGGCAAAGTCACTCTCTCCTCCTGCAGTCACTTCACTCAAAAGTTTACTTCAATTTGAGCTGTCGGTTCTTGGACAAAAATGACCAACTATTGCTTAACTAACATTGAAATGGTTATAGAAATTAAATTACTGCACAAACAGACACAAAAACAGTAAACTAATTACGACCT